AGGGGTGGGGGTGGGGGGGGGGAAGAGGTTTAAAGCTCTGTTTGGCAAGAGAAGGGTTAAGGACTTTTTTGCTATACCCGTTTCAAATTACAATGAGAAGCCTCTTCTTTCCCAGCAGGGTTGTGCTTACATTAGTCTTTAGATCTCTCTTGAAGAGAACTGTTATATTTGTGCCTGCTAGAGTTGGAAATAACAGTTCAGAAGCTGAAAAGGGTTGAATGGATTTACAGAAGGGTTTGTTTTTTGTTTTGGGTTTTTTTTTTTTTTTTTGAGTAAATTCATGGCAACACATTAATTTGATTAGTACATGCTTTAGAATTACTTTACACTCCAGCGATTCAAAAGATGTTAAAGTTATCACCAGGCTGCTGGACAAATATGTGTTACACCACCAAGGTACAGATCAAGACAAATCTGTGACTCAGGATTTTATCTTGGGAAGAGCGCAAGGTGTACGAAGAACTCAGAATAACGAGGGAAGATAACTCTGGGAACTACAATGTGTCAGAAGAACAGCTCTTGCTAATACAGCTCCCCACCAAAGACCTGGTTATCTAAGGTTTATATAGGAATGCCTAGGTCAGCTGACAAAATACTGGTCTTCTGCTCCATAAATGCAGAAAAAACGATAACAACAGTGGAAAATTGGAAGTCTGAATTTCAGCTTTCTTAGAAATAACTGCAACCTGACACATTCCATAATATTTAAACAGGGTGGGGGGAGACAAATCATCAAAGATGTTACGTTTAGAGATGACATTGACATGAAGAATAGGTAAATTTTGTTTTTCAGCCACTGGGAAAGCAGACCTCATAGGAACTCAGAACAAGTAGGAGAAAAGATTTTTTTTTTTATTATTTTTTTTTTTCCTTGTTCTTTTTCTTTCCAAAGATGAACCTAACTGTGCTCAAAGCTTTCATGGGCTTGCTCTGGAATTGCTGGGTTCTGGTGGGTCACGCACAGGGAGGTTTAGGAGACAATCATGTCCATTCGAGTTTTATTTACAGGAGGCTGCGGAACCATGAGAGAAGGGAGATTCAGAGAGAGATTCTCTCTATCCTGGGTTTACCTCACAGACCCAGACCATTTTCACCAGGAAAGCAGGCTTCTTCTGCACCCCTCTTCATGCTGGACCTGTATAATGCCATGACAAATGAAGAGGATACTGAGGAGCTGGAGTATTCACTAAAGGGATCAATGGCAGGGGAGAGCAGAGGGATACGGAAAGGATACCCTGCCTCTCCAAATGGATATTCACGGAGAATACAATTATCTCGCATGACCCCCCTGACCACACAGAATCCTCCCTTAGCCAGCCTGCACGACACCAACTTTCTGAATGATGCTGACATGGTCATGAGCTTTGTCAATTTAGGTACGTGGAAAAAATTTTTTTTTGTTTCTGCTCTCTTTGACAAACTGTTAACCTGATCTTGCGAGGGACAAGCCTCTTGGCCGGATGGGAACCTGTTCTAAACCGGCAGGATTGGGCCCAGGCTGCTGTGCCACTGGTAAAAGAAAAGTCGTGCTGATGGTAAAATAGCTACGTTGTAGGTGGCCATGGAAAAAGATTTTTCTCACTGTTTATATGAAGTCAATTTCTATAACTCCCCTCTGCTGGCTTCTGTTTTCTTTCTTTCATTGATGTAATGAAAATTCTAGCCTTAGGCCAACTAACCCTTTTTTTTTTTAAATCGCAAAAAATCAAACACTTATGCCTACTGCTCGGTTATTTCCCTCACTGTTTTCCTTAAAGCTCAGACATGAACAAACATCAGTTGTTAATAGTTTAAAGCCTAGAATGTTATGAAAAGGGAAAAGTTAAGCCATTTCTGGGGAAAAAAAAAATCTTAGGTTTTTTTTTCTGCTGATAAAAGTCAGAGTTTTATTATCTTTTCAGCTGGATGACTGGATTTTAAATAATCTGTTGCTGTTTCTTTGTTATTTCTATTTAATAACCACAGACTGTGTTTTATTACGCTGCCACGGTGCTCAGAGTCAGCAATGGTTCTTATTTTCTGTGTCATAAATAAATTAAATAACAAGTAGAGTTTTAAACACCAGAAACATGCAAGCAAAGAATGCTTTTGAAAATGATATCAATTCAGACACAAAAACTGATAAAACTAAATTATTTTGGCTTCTGAGTATAATAAACATGCTTATGCTGTGGCTGAAAAAGCAGTTACAGATTTCTTTAATAGAAGGCAACTTAAATCTCATTAAGAAAGCTGCAAATAATTCATGAAATGTATTTACTATTTTTATAAGTATTTTAAATGCTGCAGAACTCATAAAGCTATCTAAAAAAAATCCCTTCTCATTTGATCTGAATGGCAAGAGATTTAATTAAAACTTGAAGTTTCTCAATAAGCTGGTACAAAATCTGATGGACTCTTGCTTTCCCGGCTAATACTTTCAGTGGAAACTTTTTAAACAACGGCACATGTTCTGAAATACCTTCAGATTATCACACACATTCTGTACCTTTTATGCCTACCAGGTCGTTAATCCTTGCTGCAGGATTAAAAATGTTTCCAAACACTAAAATCCTCAACAACTCGAATTTCTAGGAAAATGACACCCTAGAGTTTAGTTGTCATAATAATAAAATTACTTTTCATTAATTATTTGGCAGATCAGGAGGTGTTCAATTCTGAGATCTTTTTCCTTAACAGTAACATGTCCACAACTCTAAATGCATTTGCTTGTTGCTCTTGCTCCTGAAATAGCAGACTAGAAAAAAATGCAATCTCTGTTTCGTGAAAATATGTTCCTCATCCTTAAGAAAGAGTGACATATTATCCGTGTATTACGTTTTAGTTATCATTGTATGCCTCGATTTACCCAGAGTATCTGGAGCCAGCTGAATTTAAAATGGCAATGTTATAAAGGAAAATAGGAAATGCTCTGATCTCCTAAAGATTAGTCACGGCCCTGATCCTGCAAAAATTTTCCTCGTGTGTGCTGAGAAATGCCCTCAGTAAATATGCTGCAGACCATTTCATAAACGGCTCTGAGGACTATTTACATGGGACCTAGCCTTTGGTTTCACGAAACATCTTTGATTTCAAGAGGACTTCTTGCAGTGCATGAGCACAAGTCTTTTGAAGGCTCGGTGTCAGATATGTCCTAGCCTGATCCTGCTGTGCTTCCCCAGACAAAAACCCTCTCTGGAAGAACACAAGTTTCCACTGAGTGTCTTACCTTGACTGGGAAGTTTCTAATATTTGTCTCATTTTTTGGGGAAGCCAGGGTTGCCTTAAGACAGTAATTGTGAGAAGTTAAAACATATCTTTCACCTTACATTTCTAGGCTGTGGAAACCGGGGGTGAGATGCTTTATTTTTCTAGTGATTATGATTAATAGACACCATTAACTTATAAAAAAATTACCGTGTAAATACCAGGTTATGTTTGGTCTCTGTAAAATTAAAATGTGTCTCAGCTCTAAGTGAGGCTAAGTCCTAATTCACTTCAAATGCCCTTCCTTACATGTTGGATATTCTGGTTTATCACACATTCCACCGTTTAACATATGTAAGAAATATTGATGACTGATATAGATTAGCTTCAACATTTTTATTAAACAATCCTATGTTTCAGTATAATTAACATAAAAATGAAATAAATCACAGAAACAGGTAACCATTTTATATGATTTATGCAGTATAAGATCGTGACAGATGAGGGCAAGCTCTTTTAATGTGCAATGGGGAAAAATATGCAGTGATAAGTGAATGCTAACACTGTACCTTAAAATCAATAAATGCTGATGCAGCACAGTAATAACTCAACTGGTTTTAGATTTGAAGCCTCAGTCAACTTGCATCAGATTAATCTGCTCTGGAAATAGTATTCACCATGTTCATACTTGCACACCATTAATTACATAAGGTGTAATTATAAAGCTTTATTAATCATAATGATATTTTAAATTGAAACTTTTCTATATAGTTGTAGCCAGTTATAATAATTTAAGATATATATATTAAAACAAGAAATATGTAGCTGAGGTGTTTGCTAGGAATTATTAAACATAAGATTGAAAAGACTGAATAAGATTAAAAAGTCAAGTAAAAAAATAGACAAGGACAAGTAAGTTTATACTAAAGAATAAAAATTGAAACTTATATGCTAATTTTGACAAAAACCAACCTGTCAGAGTTGCAAATACCTCACTTGCAAAAACAAATTTAAAAAAATAATCATCAAGGGAACTGCAATTATAATTCTGTCAAACAACCAAGGAGGAAAACAAGACTGCATTTACTTCTCCTGAAGTTAAAATTGTAAACACCTGCTCTTTATACTGGAATTTGTACCAGAATTTCCATCTCTTTCTTTCTTGAAAGATACGACAAGACAGACGCTATGCCTTGTCCTGTATGTTGTATAAGACTGTGCGCGTTGGCAGCTCTCCATAAATATTGGTGATTGTAACACAAGAGTTAAATGGGGTTGGTCCAGCAGTCAAAGAATAAATCCTCCACTAAATACATCGGGGTTTTCAAAGATCTGATTATATCACCTACAAGTTCAGGACTTTGTTCTCCTCACTGGGTGTTTTTTTATCCTATTCTATTTTATTATACTGTTGCAAAGCCCTGACTGTTGAGAGTTCTGGCATCTTCTTTTTGGCCAGTCTCCTAAAATGACATATATAGGATACCCTGTTCCTCAGAGAACAGACAAATAATACTCATGTAGTCCTACTCACTTTTCTGCTCACTCAAAATTTAGTTGGGGAAGGACTTTGTTAAGATAAATGTTAGTGTTCCTACTCTTCACCTCTCACCAAAAGAGGGGGGTTGAATAAAAAAATATGTACATGACTGAGGCTTGGAGAAACAGCAGCACTTTTATAAACTACATTTAAACATTTCAAGGACTGAATTTTCCATTAGCATCAAAGTGATCATTGAATCCACTGTACTTAAGTGTTCCTTCTCATGCAATTCAAATGATCTGTATTTTCATTTGTTTACAACATCTGTAAATTTTTCTCCAAATGGATTGCTGCATTTGCTAAGCAACTCTGTTTTCGTTCTTCATATTTTCTTATGAATTGATATGAACTCTCTATAAGATAGGTGATACATATATACAACCTTTGTGGCTTTCTGTTGTGTTTTCTTTCTTAGCATAAAAGGTGAATTTCAAAAACTCAAATGTGAAGATCACCATAAAATTTGTGACCCTGACCTACACATGCTAATTTAAAGAAAGTTACCATATTATGGAGATTTTTAAAGTAACTGACGCACCCCAGAAAGACACCTTTTCTTCTTCACTCACAATGTGATTCCACAATCTTAACTACAGTAATCCTCAAATCACACGTGCTGTGATCTGTTCTTAAATCAGACACCGAAATCAAAGGAAGTTTTGCCTGTTTGAGGCACAGAATGCTGTTCAGATTTCTCCAGCTTCTCTACCCCAAGATTGTGCACTGTCTTGAAGATTATATTCTTCTTTAAAACCTGAATCACTAAGCAAATACATAAATCCATGAGATTTACAGCCCATTGTGTTCATCGGAGAATGCTAACACGGCAGAGAACAAATTTTTTTCATATGACTACTTTGAGAAACCTACAGTACATCAATCCACACCAAATACCTGTACAAATATATTTTTGTTACACAAGAGAAAGAAAGGATTCCTAACTGCAGTCAGACTTTGAGTGTATATAGTAGCTAGTTTCTTAAATTAAATTAATTCAGTTTCTACAACCTTCCACTCACAGCTAACATATCATCAGCAAGGGATATGGAGTGCTAAGCTATAAGATGCCAGGAGCTGTGGACGGGGAGCTGGGTTTGAAGGATACACGCAAAAAGGCCTTAGGATCATTAACTTCTCAAATCTTAGGAATGAGCTCTCTTTCCTTCCTTCCTTCCTTTCTTCCTTCCTTCCTTCCGTCCTTCCTTCCTTTCTTCCTTCCTTCCTTCCGTCCTTCCTTCCTTTCTTCCTTCCTTCCTTCCGTCCTTCCTTCCTTTCTTCCTTCCTTCCTTCCGTCCTTCCTTCCTTCCTTTCTGTCTTTCTTTCTTTCTTTCTTTCTTTTCCACTGGATTTCAGATGTTGCTGTCTTAATTTTAACCTTACGTGAATTTCCTTGGCTGTGGTACAGTTTTAGTCCGTAAAATGCAGCCTTCTAATGAAAATATTGACACAGCCTTAACTGAAGTGACAGAAATAGTGCTATTATCTTGCCTTGAAAAGAGGGATGCTATTACAGAGATAAAACTTGTTAAATAACAAATAGAGCCCATGTCTTTAATTGTGGAATTGGATCAATACTGGATCAAAAAAGAGAAAACATTGGTGAAGTTTTTTTGAATGGGAATCCAAAGTCAGTAAGACAGCATTTTT